GGGCATGGCTTAATTGGTCTTCACAATTGGGCTCACAACAGCTTTGTGCAGATCAATGATGGTGGGGAAGCGAAGACTGTGGGTGCCTTGCTTGCGCGAATTCAGTGCTGAAAGGCCCCTTATATAGCGCTACCACTGTAAATTTCTGTAACAGAATCGTTAACAGCTAAAGAGAGCACTCTGTTTCCCCAGCTATGTAGCGTATGCAATGCATGCACATGCATTGTCATGTTTCTTTAAGTGTATGCATGCGCTCGCTTCGCCGGCAGCCTTTGTTCTTCGCGTGGGCGGCTAAAATGTGTGGCTCGGTCGTCCCTTGAAGTTGAGTATGCCAGCACCAGGCTGCTGTGCCAAGACGTAAGGTAAGAACTATTGGGATCTTCGTCATTGCCCCCCAATGCACCTGGATCAAGTTCGTGGTCATTCAAGTTTGCCACCCTGCCAGTGTCAATTGGATTGGGAAGACCGTGGCCATCCACAACACTTTTTGGAATCGTTTTCTTCGCATGACTGACAACCAGTTCGTGGTGGATGGCAGCGGGGTCAGCAACGCGAACGAGTTACCAACCTCTTGGAGCTGGGAGAGGTTTACCATCGTGGATGCTGGATGGGGCCAGGTCGCCTTTCATAGCCCTGTGCACTCGCGCTTCTTGCAAGATGTGGAGAATGAGTTGAAGTCCACGAATCAGGCTCCAGATTTTGAGATCCCAGCCGATGACCGCGGCAAGAAGCGCTTTCTTCTGCTGATGGACAGCAACCAGTTCGTGCTCTACAGTCCTGCTTGGCAGCGCTACATCTCCTTGGATCAGCAAACCACCAGCTGTCATTGCTGCATTGGCGACTACCAAAGGTTCACTCTTGTGGACGCCTGGCACCCTCTTCGGGGGATGGTTGGACAGACTGTGGCTCTCTACAATGAAGAATGGGGACGCTTCGTGAAAAGCGATGGTTCACTCAATGTCAAGGCCATGGAACAAGCAGTGGCACACCGAACGGTCAATCATCAATTCATAACTAATTAAATAATAGCCCCCCCAAAATCAGTTGCTCACCGGGTCTTTCATGAAGGAGTCATGGTACGCAACCTCGCACACGATGGGTCTGTTGTGACCATTCCAGTTGCTTTCATCACCGCCCACCGATCCCCCCGATGTCTGCCGCCCTCGGGCCCTCGCCGTCGATCGGATCGGAGGCAAGCGCGCCCATGAGCATCCAAGATCTGACGGCCGCGGACACGGGGGCGCTGTTCTACGTGACGTGGGAGGCCAGTGAAAAAGTCAGCTTCTGGAACTACCAGGAGGGGGGCTTTGGCCGACGCTGGTGGCCCAAAAGCACCCGAAAGCTTTTTGGGGTTGAGCGCCGGGGGGGCCTTTGGCCGACGCTGTTGGAGAATGTCACTCATGCATCCTGCACACAGCTTTTCTGACTTCTAACCTTCAACTGACAACTGTCTTCACTGAACGATTCTTGTCATTGTATCAAACTCCAGGTGTTTTATGTATTATTTTGGTGTTCCTTTCAACTTTAATTATTGTCGTTGTTATTCGTGCATTTGACAGTGTAGTTTGTCTTGGAATTCACGAGGCTTGGTCATGGAAAAATGGTCTGTCGGCTAGTATTCATCACAACAAACCTTCGATGTGTACCATCAAGCAAACTGTCCGCGCGCGGTGTCATTTTTTTTGTCTTTGCGCCACTTTTGGTGGCATTGGAGGCGTCTACTGCAGGGTCTGCTTGCGCGTGTTATGATGATTTATGATGTGTTGTGGTGGGCGTTGGTGCCACCTCAGGGTGCATTGCTCTTGTGTATGTATATAGTTATTCTAGGATCATGCCATTTGGGGGAATGATATATATGTGTGTTGTGACAAACATCGCTCAGATGATAGGTCATTTTTTCCTTGATTTTGTTCATTTGAATCTAATTGATGGTGGGAAATGGTTTTGGACTATTCTTGCAATTTCATGTGCGAAATAGCATATATAGGATAAATGATTCCCAAAGAGCCTCATTACACCTTGTGTATGTTCTGGTCATTGCGGTCCTGTGCAGGTGACAGTTGTTTTTGCCTCAGATTTCACGAACTGGATCAACGTTGCAGGACAGGAAATTCCTCTTCTTGGAGCATGACCGACTGCAGCTCACTCCGCAGGCTTACCAGGACAAGAACAATGCCAACCCGCCCAGCAACGCCAAGCTTTCGGTTTCAGATTCCGGATATCATGGGCAGATTGCTCTCAGGTGCTGCTACACGAACTGGATCGTGCAGATGAAAGACAATGGTCAGGGGAGTGTTGAGATGTTCAGGGCAACTGTAGCTCCGGAGAATGCTGGATCTTGGGTACGCTTCATTGTGGTGCCCATGAATGTTGACATACCTCCAGCCACCTTCATCTCACACCCAGGCAAGATCTGCAAAGATACGCCAGAACCTGAGAAATACACTCCCTATACCTTCGATCCGTGTGACGCTGGGAATTGCAATGGTTTCACGAACCAAAACATTGCCAGCTGTTCCATGAAGTGCGATGAGAGTGATATCCCCCCTGGCTGTGGGCAAAGGATGACATGTTCAGCTGCAGTCTTGCACCCAGATGGGAGATGCCACCTCTATTCGACTTGTCCAGTGGATGAGCTGATCGACAGAGCTGGAGTCACCACGCTCATCCCAGATCCAGGTGCATCGCTCCTGGCCTTCAGCAACACAACGGTCGCCAGTCAGAATGCCACCGTGACAACGAGCAAGGACACGGCCTTCTCCGGTCACATGTCTTGCGGTTGTTCTGGGAATGTCCCCTTCTAGTGCAATGGGCACGCGATCCAACACCTCAGAAAAGTGAGCCCAACAATGACTGGCCTGGGTCATTTTCTTGAATCATTTACTGTAATCATATCCTTTTCCAATCCTTTCCGACGCTTCTGTGGCCTTGTCCCAAGGCCCAAAAAATAAACGTGAAACAACCCGCCTCTTGTCCCACCAAACGCATGGCCCATGGCCCCCCCTGTTGACCCGTTGTCCCACTTCTCCTTGCCCTCAAGGACTTCGGGCCCTATGGAGAAGTCGCCGTGGCGCTGCCCATTGTGTTGATCAATTTGTCCAACTTCAGTGGGTTGATCCAACCAACGGGGGCTGGCCATGTGGACATCGAGCACACGTTTGGCGATGTGTCTCATCTGTTGAAACTGAGCATCCTTTGAAACACAATATTCTGAGTAGAACTGTTGGAAAAAGACACTTAGAACTTAGAACGATTACTGTATATAATTAGAATGAATACCTTAAGAAGGTGGCAGCTCTCCCTGACCGTTTGGACCGGGAATTGGACCGACCGCAGCTCTCAGGTTGATGAGGACCTGGAGCTTCTCTACGACAAGGTCGCAGGCTTCTACGGAGCTTTGCACGAGGTGCTGGGGCCAGACGGACCCATCTATTGCCCGTGGAACTCATACGAACATATTGAGCAATGTCTGATGTTGGCATCGTGCCTGATTCAGAGCCATGTGCCGCAGCACTTTTCGATGTCTTTCTATTCTTCCATTGCAGAACAGATAGAGACTGGGCAGTGCAAAATTAATTTTTTGGGGGTCGATGTCGATGATACCTACTGATGCTAACTCTAAGTGAGCGATGTCTTGCCGAGTTGTTTTGCCCGCGCGTCAGTTTCGCCCGCTTGCCTTTTGGACCTGTTTCCAATCAGGAGAGGTTCGACATTGCCTGGCAAAGACTGGTGGATGCCCTGGGGGTGGAAACCCACAACGCGGAGCGTAACTTCACGATTCCAGGCATGGGCCTCCCTGCAAAATACCAATGGATGGAGGCCATTGCTAGTAGGTCGGAGGCCATCGCTCATAGGCTGGAGGCCATTGCTTGTAGGTTGGAGGCCATTGCTTGTGGGAAGAGACTCAGGCATGGGCCTCCCTGCGAAATACCAATGTGGCGTGCACTCTGTGGAAGAGTCTCTGATCTACCCCGAGACGACTGGCACAGTGCTGGCGCAACTGAACCAAGGTGCGCTCCATTTGGAGTCCCGTGCAGGTCCCACGCAGGTGGTGCTCCCATGTCTCATGCTGTTGGATGAATCAGCTGCCAAGTAGCGATGGCCTCCAACCTACTAGCGATGGCCCAAAGCTGCTGCTTGCACTCTAAATTTCACAGGTATTGGGCCATACATTGCTGTTGGGTTGCAGAGCTACCTAGTTGAAAGCTTCTTTATTGACAGAAACATTTCGTGGCACACCTTGTGAACTGAGCGATTACATAGCTGTTGGGTTAAGTAAACTATTTAATGACATGGCCATTCGTACCTCGGGCCATCTTGGGGCCTAAAGAGCTCTATTCTTCCTAGGCTACGCTAAACTACGGAGGCACATGGCGAGTTACAGAACTATTGGAGAATTAATCAGTTGATTTTTTTGGATGATACATCATTGTCTTTGCTATTGAGGTTGTTTGGTTTCTTTCCTTGATTGGCACGGAGCCATTGTTTTTTGGTTTTGCTGGGACTTTTTTGTTGGTTCCTGTTTGGTTTCTACAGTTCTACGATCGCTTCGCTCCGCAGATTGGTCTTTGGCCTCTGACACCACGCTTGCCATGTCTCGAGCCCTTGAACATGCCAGCCGATCCACGCAGCAGATCTTGGATTCGCACAGTCTGAACATGTCCATTGATACAACGCTCCGCAACTTGGAAGAGGCAAGGCAGGGGACTATTGGGGGCCCCAGGAGTCAAATCATCCCAGCCCTAATAGACACGATTGGTCCTTGTTTCTTTTTTTCTCCCTTCTGCCCGTCACGACCAAACAGAACATCAACAGAAGCAGTCGTGTTGATCAAGCGAGCCAAGTCGTTTTGGACGTGCTTATGTGTGGTACTCATGTTGTCATTCTATCATATTCTATCGCAAGATGTTGGCGATGTGTTCCTTTCATCGAGACATATAGGTCGACCTTGACATTAGCCCGATCAGAGACCCTTCCAGCAACCCGCAGCAGCCCGGCAGGTGTGGCGGCCGATGTGCCGAAAGCTGAAGTGCGACGCGTCCAACTTCGCGGACATCTTCCTGAACTCGCATGACATCACCACGGCCCTGCTGCAAACCGGTGCCGCGGAGCACATGCGAGCGCACATTCGCAGCCGAGTTCAACTGGAGCGCCGGCTCCAACTCTTCGAAGGGGAGCATGCTGCCAGGCAAGGGCTGGGGGTAAATGCTTTTTGCGTTGGAGGCAGCACGGAGCACATTCTTTGTTGAACAATTTGTTAATTAGCATCTTAAGTGGATGTTGGCAGACACGCGACGGCCGCAAGGGCTGTTTTGTGGATTTGTTTGCCTCTTGGATGTTCACAGAGCGTCTCCTTGTTGAGCAATGTTGTGGGCAGCTCTCCCATTATCAGGTTCTATCGGAACGAGTATCCAGATGCCTCCTTGCAGAAGGCCAAGCAGTACGGTAAGAAGGGGAGAAAGGCGGTGCACCAACTCGTGTTGGCCTTTGCGGCGGCGAACGAGGCTAGGGCCATGCGATTGGTTGACCAAGAGGAGTTGGCCAAATTCATGGATGAGGAAGAAACGGCCTCTCCTCTTGACCATGGAAGCATCTCGAACCAATCCTTGGTGAGTTTGACAAGTTTGACAGCCGGCATGAAGACCCGCGGCTTTCTCGACTTTCTTCGGAGGGCCTTCGAATGCTTTGGCGACTTCAGCACCTTTGTGGCCGAAGGCTATTCCCGACAGATTCCCTGCGGAGTTTGTGCGGCCCCGGCGTACGTGTGCGCCGTGACCTTTTCGCCTTTAGCAATCAATTTGGGTCTGGTGGGAGGTGCTGACCAAAGCTTGTTGGACTTGCTTGAAGGACACGACCCAGTGGGATACTTCCGTGCATATGTGAGTTTCACGCTGGGTGCAGGGGCTGGGAACATCTGGGCCGGGATCAGTGCTTCCGCGACTTGGTCGATGGGTTGCGAGACAAGGCAAGTCTACCTTTCGATTGGTGTGGGGGTGGTCTTCGCAGTCATCATTCCAGGGCAGTACAGCGCATGCCCCCTACCAAATGCAGTCACAAGGAGCATTTGCGTTCCTTGTGGTGCCAGTTTTGGATTTTATTATTCCATTTTCTGTTGCAAGATCAACCTAGCTACTGGCGAAAGCAACTGCCGCTAGTGGCAGCAGACACTGCCCACCTGAGGCTTTGTTTCTGTGTTTGCGCGGAAAACCTTTGAGTACTTGGACCATGCAGTTTTACTTTTGCAATTGATACTGATACATTCTTTGCACGAACTCAACATCATTCCCTATCCTTTGCTGTCGTTTCTTGCTTCTCATGTTGGAAGAGGCAACTGTGACAAGAATGCGTTGTTGTTGTTTGTGAATGTCAAAGTTGGAGCAGCAGCCTCAGCAGAAAAACAAAGAACAGAGAAGAAGGGAGAAGGTAAAGCACGGATGGCAGTACGAACTATAGCGGCTAAAGGGTTGGGAGTTGCCCACCAGATTCTTCCCCAATCACTTCCCATCACTTCCCATCACCTGGGATGTTTTGCTTTAACTAAGCCAGCTGGGTTTGGATTGGATCAGTTGTTGATCGCATCCGGAGAGGGGTTCTCAGCCGTAATTCCATGTCCAATTCGTTTCTTTGGGTGCCCAGAGAACCTCTCGGCTCCTGGCCCGGGAGGTCCGGTTATAGATCCCCCGAGCCGGGGAACAGGGGGGGGAACAGCTGCGGTGGGCCGATCAAGGATAACCGGATAACCACGTCCTGTGCATGAAGCCGAGGCGGTGTGCCACAAGCATTATATAAGTAGCTAAGTAGCTGCCCTTTGAAACCAAAATGCATCGGGCAGAACGATCTACCGTTGGCTCGACTGTGGGGGTTAGATGGGGCTAGTGTAGCGGACCCAGGGCATACAGCAGAAGCCGGGCTCATTCGGCACACCATGTGACCACGTGCGCACAATGTTGTGCATCACGCAGTGGAATGAGCCCTGGCTCTAATGCAACATCTTGCTCCACCTGAGGCACGCCAGTCCGTACGCCGTGACGAAGAGGCTTGGTTGAGCGGATCCGAGGTGGTGTTCTTGGCTGTCCTGACCAAGTGGCATAAGATCAGTGTGGCCTACCTATATATATAAGTCTATATAGTTGAACTGTTGCACAATGCCTGACGCACCCCCCGGGCTTGTAGGGGAAACCAGAAGCCCAACACTTCTTAGACCTTCGAACATGCAGAAAGGCGGTCAATTGTACGCTGAGCGCCCTAGAATTCTGCAAAGATCCCAATGCCAACTTTGATGCAAACCTTCACATTCCTTGTCAACTACAGTGCTCACCTGTCGCTCTTGACTCCCACAAGGCAATCAGATAGATACACATGATACCCTCAAGGTCAGCTCCAGGTGGCATTGAAAAGCAATTCACTGAAGAGAAGAGGCGAACACACTGAAAAAGCCCTGAGCCCCTTTGGTTTTGCAGCGGACCCTTGGCACATCTTCGCACTCCGCCTCGGTCTCTTTGAGGTCCAACGGCAGAGCCGGAGGCTCCCCTCTTTGGCATTTCGGCTGAGCCACTGCCTGGTGGGGCTCAGGCCGGGAAGGCTGCCGGGGACACCGCAAGGGGCACCGGCAGGGGCTTGCAGAGGGCACTTGGAGGGCACCAGATCTGATCCAAGATCAGTGTGTATAGGACCCCTGAGAGTTGTCAAAGCTGGCCCGGGTCTATTGGGAAACACGTCGTGACACCTGGTTGCTGACCGCAGGTCATGTATGCTCATGTCTGATGCCCTTTGGGGGGGCTCATAGCTGTTGATGGAAGACAGCTTTCGCCACCTGGAATCTTGACATCAAGCCGTAAATATGGGAGATCATAAGATGAAACGGAATTGTTCGGATGGCGCGCTTTTTTGCTGATGCAGTATCTCATGAAATCCTGACCCCTTCTGGTTGGAATCCCATCTGGTAGGTGTTGGGGTTAGTTTGTGGAGCACCGAGAAGAGCACCATGCAAACTCGCTTCTTATGGGCTTGTGGAGTCAGCAGCCATGATGCCCTAGTTGCCAACCACGATATCGTTACCCCGGCGGGTTCTGCCTCTGCCAGCACCGCGACGTCGGTGACATCATGGACTCCAAATTGAACTCCACCAATTGGTTGATGAACTCAATCTAAGGCTCTAAGGGGCAGCCCCCTTTGAAAGGAACAACGCCGTTTACTTGCCACCCTTTTTTTTGGCAAGGTCTTGCCTCAACCGCATGATTGGGGCTGCTCCTGGGAACTGCGCCAAAACCACAAATGACAACCACTACCATACATGGCGTGTTGTGTTGGGGTCAGACTTGATGTTCTCGTGGTCCTCCGCCCGTTCTCGTTTGATCTTGATGGCGGGGCCCAACATGTGGCGAAACCGGGCCATGGCTTTTCCAAAGCTCCGCCCCAACGATCGGCCTAGCTGGACTCGAAGAGCTAAGCCTCCTCGTGGTGCCAGAGGCTTAGCCCTTCTGTGCATTCTTTTGCGAGTGAAGGAGCTCCGGGTGAAAGCGTTTCTCACTGACAGTTTTGAGGCCTCGAAGACTCATGCGAATCAATATGGAACTTCATCAGCGGTCTTCCAACACACCCTTGGGTTGAACCTACTGTCACTGGAGGAAACAATCCAAAGACCACTGGAAATGAAAGCATGCGGTCTCATGCGGATCTATTCTGTCATGCGTGGTCCATCAGCACTTAGGTGCGCACGCAATCAAGTCCTATCCTTGCTTGATCTTGCTGGCTAAGAATGGTGGCGTCGCCGGTCTTTGTTACAGAGGCCGCGTGCTTTGACTTCTCCTGTAAGGCGTAAACATGCGTAAGCACTTTCAGTGTCGCCCCTGCTTGGCCCTCGCAGCCCTCGCTGTATCATGTTTGTGCAGGGAAACGGGATGCAGTATTTTTGGCAGAAGGCGACGTTCATCGGCCTTCTTGTGGATGCGCCGGGTCACTCATGAAGGTTGTTTTTGATGACTGTTCATTCTAGGATTACTTTGCCAATTTTGTCCTCAAATTTGAGGTAGACTCGGGTGAGCTTAGAACAAGCAATCTGGATCTATTTTTGACAAGGGAGCCGAAATGTTACTGATCCACGCCACCTGACTGCTTTTCCAATGGCCACTTGAAGCAACCGGTCTTCTCCGGGATGGGTCTCAGTTCGCCCCTCTCCAACCCGTTCGCCGCGCCGCGCAGCGCGCCTCCCCCCGTGCGGCCAGGATGGGCCCTCCGTGGCCACGGGGCCAGGCTGCAGAGGATCCGGATGCGATTCTCAGTCGACGAGGAAGCGACTCGGCGGGAGCAACGAAGGTGTTGTGGAACGCCACTGGGGCAGTGTAGTTGGGTGGGAAGACGGAGGCTTTCCTTTGACGAAGATGGTGTTTGTTTCTGGCATGTTGAGATGTTTGTTGAACACTGTTTCTTTTGGGTGGGTGGCGCTTGAGACGTTCTGCCTGCAAGGAACACTTGGCCCTTGACCTGGGGATGTTCCAATGGCTTTCATGTGGTGGGGCAGGGAAAGGTCTGGGTGCAGTGCCTGAACGGATGAACGATGCGAAACAAGTTGTGTATGTACGGTATGTATGTATTTCGTGGAGGCTTGCACAAGAACCAGCATGGATGTTTCTAGCTCACCACGGAGGCCATTTCAGGTATCCAGGAGCTGCAGCTCCACATCTTTAGTAGTAGCTTAAGTCAAATTTCACATTTCGATCATATTTTTTGTCATGTTTGGGCGATGGAAGAGGACTGCTCCTACCAAAAAGGTGTCGTTGGTGCTTCTGGCCGGTGGCACCTCGGGGATTAGCGGTGTTCGTTTCACCTGGGCAGACATTAGGTGCTGTTGCGACAGCAATCCCTGGAGAGTGGCAGCGTTGTTTTTTCATTTACAGCCCAATTTCAGATGTTCCTGGGCCCACTCACGCCCTTCTGCTTTAACCCCCTGCGTTCTGCCGCATGGCGTTCCGCTGGAGCCTCGCTGGGTCAGTTGGCTTTCCAGTGAAGAGTAAGGATGTGGATGTCCATATATTTCCAAACATTTTCCAACTATACGATATAAGATCCCCAACATAAACCAAACTACTACATATTTATCAAACCCAACCACGCAACAAAGCTGCAAGACCTCAAAACGATCGAAGAAGCTCCCTCCGTCGGTTCGGTGAAAACCCGTGAGACCCGAGGGCCGAAAAGTGCTGAGAGCGGCCGAGATCTTGGGGCGCCTTCGCATGCCCTGGCGGAAAAACATACATAGGGCATGCGCTCTAAATGTGGCATGGGCCGGTGTTGGAAGCCGTGGTTGGCACGTGCTCGATCCGAGGAGCGGCCGAATCAGGAGCACACTGCAAGTCTTTGGGGGGAGGTGCCAGTGTGTTTGGGGAGAATTCCCGGTGAGTGAGGTGCAAGAAGGTTCACGTGCGGCGCATTGCAGACGTTGATCCGGAGCTGTTTTGGGCTCTGAGAACTCCGCACCGCGCTGGGAGTGTTGGCTCTTCGGCGCTGGGCGGTGGCCGAGGCCCGAGTCCTTTCCTCGCAAGTCGTGCGTGGAATCGAACAATTGATGCAAAAAGGTCAGGAACATGTCACCACAGATGCTGCAAATTCAAGAAACTCTTGAAAGAACTTCGAAGATGTTTAGAGACTTGGACGACCATGGTCTTTCATCGGGCTTTCAAAGGGGGGCCAACTGGAAAGATGATAAAGATGCCTTCGGGTCGCTCGGAGCAGGTCGAGATGACGGAGAAGCAGGCCAGTGGAAGACGAAGTGGACACAAAAGCATCTTTCAGGATTTCGGCAGTTTTGGTTGCCATTCTTTTCTCCACTTTGGCAGGATGAGCTGGAGGCTGCTAAGTGTTGAGCTCTCAGACCTGCCCATGAGATGTGGTGACCCATGTGGTTCTTACTGCACTCATTGTGGAACCCTTTTGTCGGAATCGTTGAGACCTTTGTGGGTTTTGTATTCGTTTGCGCCATCAGAAGCAGGGGCCGACAAGGTGTACTGAGTGTACTGGGCATAGCTTCAGTTGGC